ACCAACTCACCGTCAGCTTCTCCTGCTTCTCTCCCGCAGCCTTCCGCGCATTCCTCCTCACTAGGAAGAACTCGAACAGATTGCCCAGCAATTGTAATGCAACATCTTTGAATGCAAATGTAGGGCCGTGGAAGAGCTCCAGAACGTACGTCTTGTCGTCCAACTTCTTTACAGGGGTGACATCAGGATGGCGGAACGTACAGTACGACTTCTCGACGAGGGCCCGCAGCTCGGCGCGAGAGATTTCGTCGGGAGAAATGTACAAGGAGAGAACCTCAACTGAGAGGTCGACAAACGAGTGGTTCCTCCACGCGATCTGCCAACCGTGTGGTAGCGATGGGATGTTCTCCGGGATGTATAGCCCGCCGTTCGGCGCGAGGCCCGTGAGGACGGTCTGCAATCTCGTTTAGAATGGTTTCTACTCTAGCTCATTGAGAAATCAACCTCTTCGAAAGATAGTAGTTGATCTTTCCCTCTTGTGGAAAAATATCGCATTTTGGGGACAAGTTGTGGGCCAAGTGCTCAGTACGCTCGCTCGAGTCTGACTCGAAGTAAGAGTCCACATACATATCACGTGATTGATCGGACTCCGAGTCGAACCCCCCGAGTCAAGCGATCTGGACTTTGTAGTCAATGCCACTCTTTGAACATGCCCACAAGAAGATCTGGACTCACCATCGAGTACTGTCTGATTTTAATTATCGAAAGTTGTGATGCTGAAAGCGCGGGATATTTCCGTGTCACACATCTGAAATTTGTCACGTGATCGCGTCCTGTTCGACTCCTCACAGTGCCTGTTTCCTCCCTACCGGAGGATATTGCACATGGTTTTATGGATATGTTCCAAGCGTACTGAAAACCAGGCTCCTTCCCGCCGTCTTCGGGAGGTGAGGGGGACTTCATTTGAGGGCGGAATTCATGCTAAGTCCCAATAGCTTAGGGAAGATCATATCATAGATCCCATCACATATATCACGTGCACTATTCAAAGTTTCAAACTCCACAATCTTAATCCCCCTCACCTCCCTGTGACGGCTGGCACAAAACATTTGTAAACAGCGGCGCTCGGAGGGCAGTCGCCTCGATTGAGCGACTGGGCGCTTGACAAAATATGCTACCTACATTACATAATAAACGCGATCGCATGAGCCAGAACGCGACGCGTCCGAGACACATTGGAACGCGCTGCCTCCGTGTCTTGGAGCCATGCACGTCAATGTTCTCACGCAGCTTCTCGAGGTATTTGCAGAGCATTGGTCAACCCAGTGAGTGTTTTGCCTGCGCTGGTTGGTGCAACGCATATGGCATCCTTTGGATCTCGCGTGCAACCTTCAATCACCTGCCATTCACAAGGGTCATGGCCCAGCTTTGCAAATGTCTTCTTTTGGATAGCGCTGATGGTTGGCAGTAGGGGCATTGCAGATAGCAAAGATGTTCATCTTCACCCGTTCTTTAACTCTGTTTTCAAGGCGGCGCAGCTGGATGCTCATTTTGACGAGAGCAAATATTATGACATTTAGTTCTCCACTTTTAGTTTTTGGCCGTGATCTCATACTATATGGAGGAAGTCCGGCTCCGAGCGCCGCTGTTTACAAATGTTTTGTGCCAGCCGTCACAGGGAGGTGAGGGGGATTAAGATTGTGGAGTTTGAAACTTTGAATAGTGCACGTGATATATGTGATGGGATCTATGATATGATCTTCCCTAAGCTATTGGGACTTAGCATGAATTCCGCCCTCAAATGAAGTCCCCCTCACCTCCCGAAGACGGCGGGAAGGAGCCTGACTGAAAACAATCATTTGAGAGGCCGTGCAATCATGATGTCAGATAGAGACATGGAGAGCAATGGTGAAGTTCTGTAGGAGTACAGTCTACTCGCCTTCTGAGGGATGCATTTGGACTTGCGAAATGGGTACGATGTGATATATACTCTCACTCGTCACTAACAGGGAGTAGGGACTAGATCCGTGGCCGCATCACCGAGTAGCACCATGAGTGCAGAAATTACAGAGCTCGGCTCTCACGACGTGCCGATCTCGGGCACGCGGAGACGGCGAGGATGGCGAGAAATCAAGGGCCACATCCCTGAGGTGGATTTTCAACACCGTTCTCAGCGACTGCGCTAGTGGCGGGCTGAATGCTCTATTCCGCTGCATGAGCACTGTCTCAGGGAGTAGATTGACATAGTGTTGACAGGAGACTATTCATTACAAGAACGCATTCGAAATCCTGGCACCCACAAGCCATCATGTGATCGCGTCTCGTGGCACCAACACGTTCAAGTTGATGAAATGCGCCTTGCCTCATGTCTGACTCTTCGTAAGGCCATTTTTTGCACATATTATAATGGACCCGTACCACGCGTATCTGAAAACAATCGTTCGCGATGCCGCGCATCATGACGGTCGGGGTGTGGAGAGTAACAGTGACGTTCCGCAGAAAGTGAAGGAGTACGCTCACCTTCTGAGAGGCGCATTCGAACTTCCAGCGTGGGTGAAGGAGGTAAGACACTGGATATCTATTCTCGCTCGCCACTAACAGGAAATAGGGTCCATATCCGTGGCTGTACCCTCGAGTGATACCATTAGTGCAGGAATTACAGAGTTCGTCTCGCACGACATGCCGACCTCAGGCACGCGGAGACGGCGAGAAATCAAGAGACGCATCCCTGAGGCATATCTTCAACGCCGTTCTCAACGACTGCGCCAGCATAAGAAATGTCCTTTGCGCCGATGAGGAGATCGGCACATGTAGTCCGAAGGAATCATTCCTCTGCATATTGGTTCGGAATGCGCTATGCATCACCAGACGAGATCTGGTTGTGGAGTACGTGCTGTTGGTCTTCCGACAGCTGCGCATGAATCCTGACGGTACAATATGTGCAGCGAAGAGGCTCTGGTTGCGTTGCCTCGACATTGGTGTGGAGAGCTGAGCCCTCTATTCCGCTACATGAGTACTTGCGTCTGCGCGCCTCTGCTAGTGTCTATTGCCGCAGGTGTCCCTCTCACTTCGCCAACAGTCGATCCGCAAGACGAGGGTTGCGATGGCGAGACTGTCGAGACTGGGAGCGGGAATAGCGGCCACGGGGATGTTCAGGAAAGCAGCAATGGGTGTTCACCACACGATGACAGCGATGCTGTAAATTCTGAGGTGATCCGTGTACAGCAACGTCCTGGTGCTCTGCCAGTCTATATCGTGCCGCACCGCTCGCTCTCTGTATCGGAATGGCTGAGACTTCCTGCGGTGGAGAGGGTCGACTATGAGGACACCGACGAGGATGAGGCAGACATTGATCAACAGAGTATTGCTG